GAATTGACTTTTACCACTTTAACCATTGCGCCTTTGATTCTGTTTCAATTTCTGTTAGTCTAGTAAGGCAGTGGATGCAGGTGGTTGAAGGGAACCACAGGGAAGTCCTACTAATTTTCTTTGTCTGTTTTGTTTTATCAGTTATACTTTTCCCCAGTATTAAATAAACCCCATTGCGAAGGTATGCCTCTACTTTAAAACAAAAAGAAAAATTACAAAAATAAAAGTTAGCATGAGTTATATTGCCTTATTCATATATCTGAAAGGTGTCCTTACTGTTGTTCAGTATTTGAAAAACAAACAAAAGACGCCAGTAAAGTCACAAAAACAACAGCCCAAAGAAATACCCCTTCCCCACCTCTCAAACATGTCGGCATACCTCTGTAGTGCTTAATCTATCACGGGACTCCGTTACACACTGAACAAACTGCGTAAACGTTTCTCGATCATAATGAATCATTACATTTTTGTCATTGAGACACCGGCTGTCCATGTAGCCTACAAGTAGGCCTTCATTACTATTTCAGCCTCTGTCCCCACTGTCTTTCAATGTTTATAAATCAAGTATGCGATGTTATTTTTTCTATTAAAAAACCCATGCTGCTTAAAAGTAAGGGAAAGCAAGGGCGTCCACAGAAAATTGGATAAAACCCGAGGTGTTAAATGCATCTTCAACGTTTGTCAGCGTGTACTACACAATAATCTTAGACAAGGCTGCAAGTTGATGAACTTGTCTCGACCTCTAAATGCGCACTAGGCAATAAACCTACACGTGCATTCATTTAATATCTACGTCACCACTACCTAAATTATTGCTTTCCTAATTCTAGAGAAAGAGGAGTCAATAATGTACCCTCGCCCCTCTTCCATATCCACCTCAACCCCCTCCCTCCCCTAAACATACACACAGACTCGTGTCCCCTACTTATGGTCACAGCGATCCTAAATGACAATTTCTGAACGAGACTACAGTTAGATCTTCAAGTATACACTATAACCCTATTTTCCCAACTCCAAACACCCAGCACTTAACCCGAATCCCAAGAAACCAAAATACAAACGCTAACCCCTAGTAACTACAAACTGTAAATCTTAGCTCAAAATCCGTTCTGTTGCAGTTGGTTGGCCGACGAAACCCTGAAATTTCTTTAATAACTTTAGCGGGCTCAACTGTTGCTTCCGTGAACCCCTCGGGGTTAGAAGATAGGGCTTTAGAGATGATGCAATAAATAATAGGCCTACAGTGTGTATTGATCGTTAGTAACTAAATCATAGAAACCATAACCTAATTATTGTTTCTCACGACTTCGCAAACATAAATCCCAATCCTACCTACCTACGTACGCATGTACCTACTTACCTACCTACCTACCGACCTACCGACCTTCCTACCTACCCACCTGCCTACCTACCTACCTACCTAGCTTCCTTGCTTCCCAACTACCTGCTTAGCTGCCTACTTAGCTAGCTAGCTAGCTAGCTAGCTAGCTACATATCTCTACAATCATGCCTACCCACCAACCGACCTACCTTCCCACGCACCTTAGTACCTATCTACTTAGTCTACATAATATCATATATACATATAATCC